ACTACTGCTGCAATACTCTGCTAGGGGTTAATCCCCAAACACTAACAATTGTCTTACAAGAAAATCACATGGACAGAAAACATAAAATGGTTGATAGCATAGTGCCAAATGATGGGCCTCTCAGGTTGGATAGCATTCAACAATTTACTGAGAATAGATGAAAATATGTTGGTGTTTATGATGTTGCTAGATTAAAGTCTTTAGGACATGTAGATGGTGTTGCATTGCAGGAAAAAAGAAAACCCAAAGGTGCAAAGACAGAATTACAGAAGGAACATGTAGCATAAGATGCATGAACATGGAAAAGCTCAGCACAGTAAAAATGAAAAAAAAAAAGAACAACACTGACATCAGTGAGTTGAGATGGACTGAGTTCAGACACTTTCAGTCAGAAGATCACAAAGTTTACTACTCAGGATATGAAAAACAAGTGGATTGTTTCCAATTTGGCAGGCTATAGCAAGAAGTATAATTGACTACAGTGCAGTCAATGAATGAATAATATGAATTAAACTTTAAAACGTTTAATATGACAATCAGGTTTATGCCCCACCCACGCATGCAGAAGAAGAGGTGGTTGGTGGTTTTTATGGTTAAGTTCAGTTTGAAATTGATACAAGAAAGATGTGATTGTCATAATTGGAAATATGGAGGAAAATGTAGTTGGACTATATGATCTAGGAAACCAAAAGGAAGCAGGAGATAGACTTATCAGTTTCTGTTCCTCCAATGATATCTTCACCCTAATTTGAAACAACACCTATATATGTGGACATTACTAAATTAAATTGATTACATTATTGGTAGAAGAAGGTGGAAGAGTTCAGTTATAAAGACATGGAACAGATCACAAATTGCTCGTGTTCAAGTTTTCAGTTGAGTTAAAGCAGACGAAGAAAGCCAACTAATTTTCATGTTCCTTGATCTTGTGGATAATGTTTCATCTGGAACATTAGAGAATTTATAAAAGTGAGAATCACACTGGTAATGTTTCTTACACAAATAACAGATTCAAATTATAATGCTTTAGACCCATTGTACAAAGATTCCCTTCCTGGAGACATCTATAATACTGGAAAAAGTGGAAGAGAAAAGGGAAATCAGGACAAACAGCAGTAAGGATTCAGTTACTGTAGTGTGTATCATTGGAAACCTTAAAGGAATAGATCATCATGGAAAAAGTCAATGTGGATACTAAGAGTCAAAACCAGTTTGGTAGCACATAATCACACTGTCATAACTTGAATATCATGATTATGAAAATTTTGCTTGAGAAAATGTGATAATAAAATTTCAACAGTATATAAAAAGTTTCATTTTCTGTATAAAACATTTTCCATTTTACGAACTGATATAATTGTGTGTGCTTTTTTATTAGAAAAGTTGCCAGAGGCCTTAATAAAATATTCATCAAACCAGTGACAGCTTTTGTAATGAGGATACACTATATTTTTCTGAAGGAAGGATTACTCTGAATTTAAGTTAGCCTCTCCAAAAAAGAAAAGGAAGGAAGGAATATGCAGAGGGACAGAGAGATCTGGTGAATCCCTTTCTTCCCTACTTTGGATGTCAACTTTGCTTAACTCAGTCCTGAAATTTTCATTCCCTTTCAAAATATTTGTACACGCTACTATATACAGTATATATGTGTGTGTATATCTGTCAGAAGTCATACCACCCAAAAGAAAAAAAGGGCAGGATCAGAACTATATCTATCTATGTCAACTAGTAAGTAATATGATTTGCTTATAATTTAAGATAGCCCTTAATAAAATTGATTCCTTATCTACAAATAGCAAACACTCTCTTTCGTGCTTTGATGCTAAAACTTTTGTAACTGGACACACGTTTCTCTTCTTCCTTCCTATTATCAGCAAATCAAACACCCACTTCCAGCCCAGGAAATTGCCCAGATGGGGGAAGAAGTTCATTTTTCTGTTAACAAAATGTGGTGCTAAATAAGACCATCAAGCTAGCACATTGTGTACATATTTGAAAATACCAGCATTTTGATTTTCACAGGAATATGTGGAATATTAATATTTCTCTCATGGACATGCAGTAATAGGGTTTAGTTGCTTGAAAAGGAATCATTAATAGAATTGGTTAGATGTTTAAACCAAACTATCTTAGACTATACAACATTTACCTTAAGTTCTTGTTTCCAAGTATTGGGTAATACTTGGAAACACTGCAGAGCCAAAGTTCCAAGACAGTTTCATGATTGGTAAGGTAGAACAAAATGAATGTTAATTCTGATAATTACATGATTCAAAGGAAAATAAAATAGTCTTTTAGAATTTGCACAAACAACTATAATTGGGACTACCACTTCTTGAAAGATAAAAAGTACATTTTATGAATTTTCCTGGATTCATCCTTACTGTAGGAGTTCATTTATCAGAGTGATTTTTAACTATTTTACCAGTTGGCAGCAGTATCAGAGAAATCGTACTATATCTCAGTTATTTATCACTCCCTGCTTCCATTTAGTATGGATTATTACAGTGCACTTTATATGCAGCTGTTTTTAAAGACAGTTCAGAAATTTTAACTAGTGCAGAATTTTAGCATGGTTGTGTGCTATAATCTAGTTATGGTATTCATGATTCGTATCAGCTGCCTTGCCATAGTGTTTCTAGGTCTGATTTAAAAAGCTGGTTTAAAGTACAATCAGGTCTTAAAAGAATTTGGGATGAGCTTTTGGAATAGCATGCCCACACTTGAAAATAATGCCAAAGGCCCTCTTTTTTTATAATCTTGATCAGTCAGCTGACAAGTAGAACTTTTTCATTGATTACACTTACATTTAATGGCACTCATTTCCAGCTGGGATACATCAGGCCTATTCGCATTTTTTCCAAAACATCCTAAAAGATCTACTTACTTGCTTCAGATATTATAAGAATGCTTGATGGACATTTTTTAGTAACTGCATTGAAAGAACACCTTTAATAAATATCTACGTATAGTTGTCCTCATAAGTTTATATACCTTGGCAGAATTTATGATTTCTTGACCATTTTTCAGAGAATATGAATGATAATACAAAAACTTTTCTTTCACTCATGGTTAGTGTATGGCTTTTCTTTCACTCATGGTTAGTGTATTATCAATCAATTATGTTCTAAGAATGGAACACCCATAAATGCACAAGTTATCTAAAAACACCAAAGTAGGCATTTTCAAGACCTTCTCTATTAGCTACTTCTACTTGATAAATGGCTCTTCATTCACCACATATGTGCAGAACAA